TAGCATGAAATCCGGGGGCCGCCTTCTCAGCGCCACCGAGCAGGGGCGCCGGTGCGGGGGTCAGTTGGGTGCTCTCACCCGGAACCGCGCGCGGGGTCGCAGGAAGAGGCGGGGTTGGCCGGGAAACTTAAAAGGGAGCACAGGATTCGCGCCTCCTTGGAGTTCTGCGGGGGCTGCTTGGACCTTGCTCGGACCTTGCTCTTCCTGGGCTGCGGGACTAGCATGGCAGACGATGCAGGTGCTGCTGAGGCCCAGGGGGACCAATGCACGCCTGCCCAGTCCCTGGGCAGGCTGCTGAAGTTACCACTTCCACCACCTCGGATTCGCATCCGGCCATGGTGGTTTCCTGTGCAGGAACTGAGAGACCCACTGGTGTTTTACCTGGAGGCATGGCTGGCTGACTCGATCTTTGGTGAGCCACCCTAGGTGTGCTGGTGCTGTAACCCCTCCAGTCCGACGATCCAGAGCAACTCTGGACAGTCTCTGCCTGATTTGCAGGCCACATTTGACACCAAGATGCCCACCTTCCTGCGCTTTCCTCTCCTGGCCTTCAAATCTAGCTTCAAAACCCACTGACCGTCGTTCGACCATGTTTCCCCTCAGTCTCTCTTTTCCTGTTTAGGCCCAGACAGAGCCATCATTCCAGAAATAGAGTGGATGAGCCAAGTCCTGCTGACGGTGGACATAGTTAACTCTGGGGACTTAGTTGAAATCACCATCTTCGGACGGCCCCGTGTACAGAATCGGGTGAAGAGCGTGCTCCTGAGCCTGGCAAACTGGCACCGGAAACATCGTGCCCGAGGTGAGCGTCTCTAAAAACCTGCAAGTGGAGGGAGCCACTGGTTAACCACCTGGCGGTACCTGCCTTTCTTCCAGCCTTTATTACCATAGCAAAACCTTTTGCAGTTTCTTAACTCCAGTGTTCTGCATGCATCCAGTTTTCTGGGCATCCCTTTTTATTTTTTTTATTTTTTTTATTTATTCAACGTTTATTTATTTTTGGGACAGAGAGAGACAGAGCATGAACGGGCGAGGGGCAGAGAGAGAGGGAGACACAGAATCGGAAACAGGCTCCAGGCTCTGAGCCATCAGCCCAGAGCCCGACGCGGGGCTCGAACTCACGGACCGTGAGATCGTGACCTGGCTGAAGTCGGACGCTTAACCGACTGCGCCACCCAGGCGCCCCTCTGGGCATCCCTTTGTGAGAGGAGTGCAAATAGGACCTTGGGAAAGCAAATCTGACAC